TTTGAACTTGGCACTGGAGGCAGGTTCCAAATGGCAAAGCATATTAAGAGATCGAACTATTAAATGCAGCTAATGAGCAAAATAATTATGTGGTGCCAAGCTGTAAAAGGTTAGGCTTTAAAGTTGTCACAGTTCATAAGCAAGAAAGATTTAATGGCAATTTTAATAAAATATTTATATGATAATGCATTTTAATCAAAATAGGAGCAATTAATTTGGGGTGTGGGGGGGATATACTGCATGCTTCCTGTTCTTGATTCATGAGGCCTTGTTGAAGAGCACACATTTTCTTACTGGATAATGTATTGGTCCCAACTATAAGTTCTTGGAGCTCAGTGTAGCTTGGGATAAATTGACATAGCAACAGGATGCAGGAGTGTACCAGCACTGAGAGGCTCCTTCGACATAACCTTGTATCTGGATCATCATTGCAACCCAGCAAAGAAATTGTGCTCTCATCCTAGTCTGGGAGTATGCTCACACCCACATGAAGTGTACCAGAGAGTCAGACCTTTCGTACACCATGGTCGCATCTACACAAGACGCTGATTGTGCGGTAACCCAATACTACTGCACAGTAGCACTACGTGGTAACAACCGTAGCTGTGCAGTAGCATCATGAAAAAGACGTTTGTCAGCATTACCCTGCAGTAACTCCGGTTACTGCGCAGTCATTTAGTACTAAACAAGTATTAAATGATGATGTAGTAACAACTGCGCAGTCAGCGTCTCGTGTAGACGCAGCCCGTGGGTTGTAAACCAGAGGGACCTGAGCGTATCACTGAAGTGCTCACTATTCAGAAGTGATGTGAGTACAACTTCTTTGCCCACAAACTCCACCAAGTCCCATAATGGTCCGCCTGCTGGTGGAATCGCAACAACTGTGCAAAAAGGAGCTTAAAATGGTCCCTGCCTCAAAGCACTGATTTTGTTCCTTCCTTACCTACTTTCCTAGGCAGAGAGAAGCAGGTATGTTCCAGCTCTGGCACGCTCCAACACCTCCCATGTCTCGCATCTGCAGGTATTTTACTGTGATCAAACATCCGAAAAACATAAAACCAGTGGGGAAAGATGTCATACATTTATGGGAACTGGCACAGCAAGCGATTACCCTCACTGCTGCAGAATAGTCATGCCACAGACCAGCGGTAGCCAACCTGCAGCATGGGTGCTCAAGTGGCACGAACAGATTGGGGAGGAAACAAATGGCACATTGGCAAACAGCTCAGGGAGCAGAAAGCTGACCACCAGATCAGTAATGAAAAGGGATCCGTGTGGCAATCAGGAAGGGCGTGGGGCTGAGTTGTGGCACACCTGGTGAAAGGTTGTCCTCCAGTGCTCATACTGTCTATCCCTGTCAGGCCATAGAAATACCTTCAGGTACTAAGGTACTGACCATTAACATCGCATTGCCATTCCAGGAGCTACCACCTTCATATTCCCAAGGCAAACATGGCAGCAGGGCCATCTGTGGGAAGTGGAGGGACACGAATCTGGGCGACTGCCCTGGGCCTCACACCTGGGGGGCCTTGTGGGCAGTGCTGTGCAGGCCCCACCGCAGCCGCCGCGCTCCGGCCACTCACCACCTCCTCCATCCCCCCAGCCGCTCACCACCCCCTGACCCCGCTCACCACCCGGGACAGCTCTGCATGGCGGTATCAGGCATTGATTCAGGCTTTTCAGCAAGTCATTCCCTGAACCACATTTCTCCTAGGAAGCATATCAAAGACAGCATGGCAGTGTTGAAATAATGGCCTCACCTCTAGGATGGGCACACATTTACACACTTACTACCCAGTATTTCCCCCCTTTAATCGGTTTAGCCTTTTGTGCTGTATACAAGTATATTTTTCACTGTCTACCATTGTAATAGCTCATCAGTAAGCGTTATGTTTTAAAGTGCGAAGTTTGCCCCTTCGGTTGGAGTCAAGATGAAAAGCTTTCCATGAACCACCTTTGATTGGAATCACTTTTGTTACCTTCAGTTTGGCCAGATGTTCCCTAATTACTTCATCTGACAAAGATTTTCTTTAACATGAAGACATCTTTACAGGAAGAGTTATGTAAGATCCTTGTTTAGTCTCTTTGCCCAAGTGAAGTAAGCCACACTAGGCTTCATCATCAAGGCTGGATTTTATGCTTGAACATGCAACTTAACATCAAAAGCTTGATCTTTTTTATTATTCAGCACAGCCTTTTTAGACCAACTCTAACAAGAGCCAAATGGCACATTTTAACTTGGGATTTAAAACTTTTATTTTTTAAAGCTAGAACGGAGTCACACAGCTTTCTCCTGGGGCTGACGTAGCTCTGTGTAATACCTTAAAGCCAGAATCTGACACCATTACTCGTTTAAAATAGGACTTACCTATATGAATAAACCCACTGAACAACGCTACTCAGCATGAGTCAAGGTTACAAAATCAGTCCTGCTTTAGGGCTGATCTTTAGCCCATTGAAGACAGATCAAAAACCTCCTTCTGTTGACTTGAGTCAGTCATTGAGTGGTCTGACGGATCCTCTGCCCATTACTCATGTGACAAGTCTTTGAGAGCTATTAAGCCAAAGAAGGAAGCCCCTAAGCCTTTAATTACCGGAACTGCCCGCTGCTGGAGGTGGAATATCAGACGTCATGGAACAACAATCTGATCAGTATAGTGAGGCATATGTTCCTATGCACCGGTCATTTGAGACGCTTGGCCTTGATTTGCTACTTGGCTACTGTCAGCCAACTTTCACTCAGGCTAGGCAGCCCAGTCCTCTGGTGTTACCTCCAAATACACCACACAGAAAAGAAAATGTGATCACTAGTGCTAGGCAGGAATCCCAGGAACATTTTTGAGCTTTCAAATTTTTTTTCCATTGTACATTAAGACAAAAACAAAGCTTTTCAAAAGTCCTCAGAGAGGCAGTGAGCCATGTCAGAAGAGCCACCAGCCAAGGGGCTGAAGCCCTTATGTCAGATGTAGACAACCAGGGTCAGGTCTCTAGTGTTCCTGATTCAGCACAGAGCCTGGGTCAGCGACACGCCAGGTTAGCAACCGAGTCACAGGGCTATTGGCTATTCTGGGAAGGGTTTCCTTTTTGTCTCTCATTTTGAACAGAAATTGCATCCTGGACCTGAGAAGCCTTCCCAATGGAAGCAGCTTTCTCCAACAGAATTCAGCTTTGCCAGGAAGATCCCAAAGGGCTCTGCTGATCACAGTACAATCAAAATATACTGCTCAGATGCTTAGCTTAGAGATTGGATGCATCAGTCATCTGTGTCGTTCAGTGATTAGCAGTACAGTATGTTCTTGGCTTTGGTTTTGAAACAAATCCACTTAATTTGGTTGCTATGTATTAAAACTTAGAGGCGGTTCGATGCAGTTTTGAGTCACTTAGCTTGATGGATGCTACCGTTACATATGCAAATTAATGTCCCAAGTTTCATCGCCACCCCCCGCCCTCCCCCGCAAGGAGGTACACCAGAGGATGACCTTAAGAGCCTCCTACAGTCACTAGTCACCTATTCTGTCAATCCTAAGTGCAATTCTCAGTAGCACTTCAGCACAAGCCTGGAAGCTCGGCTGAACTGGGTATGAGGTTCACTGTGTCTACCTGTCTCCTAGCCCTACACTTTCTGAACTTACCCTCATGCTGCAGGCATCAAGCATAGACGTCCACCAGGAGCAATGCCACAATTGCATAGTCCAGCCCTTCCACACCCCTCTTCCTCTGCCTACTGCCCCGAAGCAGAGACAAGTCTGGAAGCAGAGACAAGAGTCCCACAGACTGATTCCTAGAAGAGCTCTGCTTCACAGAGTGCTATGATCATAAGCTACACAGCATGATGTGGATGGCTCTGGTGTGGGCCTCAAGGAATGGTATAGATGGGGAAGTGCAGATCTTGTAGCTTTGGGCTAGTTGAGAACAACCTTAGAGTTGACCCAAGAGGTCAGCATAGACATAGCCATGCAACATATTCAGCACTGCTGAATCCTGTTGGCTTGTAGGGACAACTCTCTCAGTGTCTTTATTGATTTCTTAACATTGTCATGCTTTGGATGGAGATTACATTTGCTTTTGAAGGTAAATTATTTCTGGAAAGTTATGTTTGGTACTTTGAGAAGGTCTCTCTCTCACTTCTCATTCATGCTTCGTGTTTGTTGTTTTAAAAAATAGCGTCTTACCTGTATGCACCGAACATGGATCTGTGGCATTCACTATGCTGTAGCTGCTGGTATACTGTAATTTTCACTTGTTCCCTAAATTTATGGGATCCTGCTGTTAATCCAGCTGAGCTATCCTCAGCGAATGCCTGTAGTAATGCATTCATGGATGCCTACAATGTTATAGCTGATCTACGGATAAAATTCATGACCCTAAAAAAGAGATCCTTAACACATAAACTCAATATCTCTGTTAGTTCCAGTAGTATTATATGAAAGGACACTGCCAGGAAAATTAAAAAACTCTGAGACCTGCCTGAGATAGTCCACCAGGCTACTGTGGGTATGTGCCACCTTCAATAGCCAAGGGCACATGTGGCAGCAATGTGGCTGGCATCACATCTGGCTTCCTTTGACTCTCCTGCTGGAATAGCCAGATATCCATTTGCAGCTGGATTGACGGGGGGCAGCCTTCAGTATGAATTTGAAGCAGGACTTGAACTCATGCTGCTGGAGTGGCAGCAAGATGCCATGAACTACTCTATGCCAGGCTCCAGTGCTGGGAAAATTGGGTTCCCTAAATTCGAATTTTTAAAATAACCAGCCTTACTGGATGCAAGATCCATAGAAATATCCCCATAATGATTATGCCTTTTAATGAAATGGGTTTGGGGGAAAGTTTCCTGCAATTTTTGGCAAACCTAAATATTGCCACATTGCACTCATTCACAGGAACTTGAAAGTGAACTCAAAAATGAAACCAAATCACCTGCAGCTTTAGCTAGCAGGTGATCCAAGGCCAAATCTTCCTCATTAATGAAACTCAGATCAGGCCATTAATGCTTATAGTAGTTTAATGTTAATTGGCAGCTAGTCATTTTTCTTCAGAAGAGATTAAGTAAACCTCTGCCTCTAGCCTTTGACAAGCCATCAGAAATGCTTTGTCAGTATATTAGTGACACATTAATTATATATAAGGAAAACCTCTGCAGAAATGAAAAGGGAAAAAAACCCCATCAATATTCAAGATGTTGACTTTGGGGTATGTGGTTTCCATCTCTAAGGCTGCATGTTTTCCTTCAAATTTCCTTCCATGCTCCTTCAGCTCAGAACATTTTTCACACGCAGCTAGAAATCTCCTTGCTTCCGAGTCAACTTGGAAATGATGTTAGCGCTAGAAAAAACCCAACTACATCCATATCTTTCTGCCAGGGGAAGCCAAGGTCTACTGGTAAACTTTTCAAAGAAAGGGTCAGGAAATATTGGTCCTGAATATCTGATGTAAAACAGTACCATGGTTACTTCCATGGATGGCACAAAACATTCAACACACAACATGGCGAATTCTTGTCATATTGCCAGTCCCAAGCATCCAAATACTATGAGTCAGGCTCCAAAAAATAATCATGAGTGTGGCATTAGAGTCATAAGATTGGTAAAAATAATTTCTTTCACATCATATTTTGACGTTTGGACATTTAGGTCACACTGTGTACACAAGCTTAGTCTTCTTGCAGCATCCTGGGGCCTAGACATTCAATCCTTTTAGATAAAAGGCAAAAGATACTGAGCTCAAGGAACTATGGCTTTTAGCAAATCAGTGTATGGTGTGGGCATATCTCCCCCACCTTGAGCCACTTGGCTCAGAAGCGAGTGCCACAATGAAGTGCTTCAACTCCATTACCACATCCACTGCACCCCAAAACGGACCCAAGAGAGGGAGCTTGTAGCACTCACGCAGTGCTACACTAAGGCTGCTATTTATATCCTGTCCCTGTCAGGGTGAAGCATAAGCAGAAGTGATGTGGCGTGCATCTCGGGCACTTCCTAATTTAGTCCTGAGGTAGCCCTCAAGCCCTGTGTGAGTGAGCATTGGCAACGCTGCACTCCAATAGCAACCACAGTTTCTGCAGGGCCATGCTCCTAGGCAGGGACAAAGTCAGCACAGTTGTTCTTGCAATGCAAACCATAAACAGCTCTGTGCAACTGGTTGGGCTTCCCTCCTTCCAGCTTGTGAGGTAGGACGTTCCAGTTTGCATTGTTCCAGCTCCACGTCTCTGTTAGCATGGCATAAGCTCTGTGGGGCAGGGTTGCATCTGCTTCACAGCCCCCGGTCCCCTGTTTAGGTAGAGCCGAGACCCTGGAGGGGACTAGGATTCTTAATTAAACAAAGCATTAAGCTTCATATTCTTCCTTCCCGGCCCTCCTCCCTAAAAGCCCTAGTCTTCAAAAGGCAGCATCCGAATGCTTTGCCTACCAAGCGAAGGCTTAGCTCATGCTGTGGGATCATGTCCGCTCCGCCTGTTCAGTACTGGTGTGGGGAAGCGTCATTTCAGCTGCCATTGAAAATCCATTCCTGACCACAGCATGAGGTTTCCAACAGTTCTGGGCAGTTTTGGAGGCTTATCATGTTTCCAGGGCTTTGAAAGTTCACAGGTAAACTAAGCTTAATCCTCTATTTATTTTTCCTCTCTTACAAGACAACTTATTCAAAAAAAGAAATGTGTTCCTTCTCCCTTTTCAATGTTTTGAGCAAGCAGATAACACAAGGCTCTCCCCTAGTCCAATTATTCTCTATGCTTTTCCATAGCAAAAATCATTAGAACCAGTACATTTACTTGCAACCGTTTGTGAAGTTTTGCAGGGATTTAAAAAGTAAGATGTCATCTTTCCCCATGTGTCTTTTATTCACCTCCATTTTCTGAATCAGACTCAGAATCCACTAATTCTACTATACTCAGGTTATTGCTGTTCCCAAAGACTGTGTTTTTTAACATGGCACAAAGGATGGAAATATCGGAGAACTGATCCAGGTTGCTGTAATCACCAGATGTCCTTTCAGCTTCATTGGATGTCGAATCAGAATCTGGTGGGATTATTAAGTAAGAGAAAAAGAGAGAGCTCTTTTAAGCAAGTGAAGATGAGCATCACCGTGGGTTAGTAGCCCCGTATACTAGAAATGTCACTGAGCTGTGAAAGCCCTTTCTTAAAAATTAACACCTCCTGCTTATTGATATTGGTGGCCACCACTTGCTTCTGTCTCTATTTCATTTAACAGGGAAATTTAAACAGTGCTGTTGGCAAGCAAATTAACATGTAAAATAATAATAAACTGATCAGAGAAAGTACAACATGCAGCCAAGAGGGCATGAGGGGTCTTGCAAAGTTTAGCAGGTTAAAGGAAGGCCCCTCACTGTCTTGGAGTCCAAGCCTCCAATCCACCACAGCCACTCTGCACCGCATGCTGGGAGCGAGGCAACAGCAGTACTACGCTGGTCCAGACGTGGCCATCTGCCTTGTGACCCAATTTGCCAAGTATAACTAAGGTGCTAGTCTTCAGATATCAAGAATAATGACTCCAAGAACAGCCTATGTACAGAAAAGCCTACATGCATCAACACAGCATTGGCTGACTTCACCTGAGGTGTCATCGTCCTTATTTGCTGACAAGTCTGCAAGGTCAGCAAAAGCAATCCCATCACAAACGCTCATCTGATTGGCATTTCCAATCATGACATTATCCAGAGTAGACTTATTGATGCTGAGTCTCTGTGATGAAGTTCCCCCTGTCCTATTGGGTGTGCTGTTATGCAGTGAAAATGAAGAGCTGCTAGAAGGAATTTGACCAAACGAATCTACAGTGAAGAAAAGGACATGAACAATAAAAATGATGGCACCAAAACTTCCAAAAGACAAAATGAATGAACATCACAAAAGGTGCTGCATGTGGTTCCCAGAGTTGGGGTGGGAGGGACTTGCATTGTAATAGCAAGAGTGGCAGTATCCAATGGACTCTAACTTCCCAGAATGGAAGAAGATTCTTGAAAAGAAGCAACTTTACCCAAAAAAGGAAGAGGTGGTGACAACAGGCAGCACTACACCAATTCCGGTAATTGGGAACTTGTATAGTGATTTCCCATGGTCAAAAATGACTACGTATGGGACTCCTTATTTTACAGAGGATGATAAGCAGCCTTCCCAAGGCCATCGTGTAAGTGGAACCAGGTCTCCTGGCTCCCACTCCCGCACTCTGAGCACTGCAAAAGGCTGCCCCTCTCTCATCCAGCCTTCCCCTTTGAAGCCACAAGTCATTCTTTCCTTACATGGGTAGGGGGCAATCTGTAGGTGCAATATTAGCCTTGGCCTCTTAGCCTCATCTCCTGCTCTACACGCTTTAGGACAAAGCTGGCCCTGCCTAGCTGGGATGCAGGCTTCAAGCCAAGGCGTATATACTATAATTCAAGAGGCAGCAGAGTCAAAGGGATGGCTTGGAGATTGGTCAAGGATAGTTTTTATTATAGGCACAAGCTAAATCTGAGTTACTCCAAGAGCTATGTTCAAGATAACTTTCCCTCAAATCACTACCCTAAAGCCACTCTACTTCAGAAAACTCCCCTTCTGCTGTTGTGAAAAGGAGTCAGATGAGCACAGAAAGGGTCAAAGGGCAATAATTGCTCCTGGAATACAGACTCCAAAGCCCAAAACTGGCCCCATAATGTGTATTTTAACATGTGCAGAACAATTCAAGAACTTACTCCTAAAAGATGGGGTTTTTGTGGCCAGTAGAGGGAGATTTTGCTCATTCATTTCACCAACACACACCACAAACCAACATTGCGCACCTACCTTTTTCTGAAGTTCCACATTGGCCCACCTGCTCTGCTGGGCTGTCAACAAAGTCTGTCTTGATAACATCCATTTGATTTTGATTACCAACCAGAACATTTCTGAGCGTGGACTCAGTCACCTGGATGTCCTGGTCACACGGCATAGCCGCTTTAGCTTCCGAGTCATCGTACGAGCTCTTGGCGTTCTTTGTTGAACTCAGAGAACTCTGAGCAGTTGGGTTACAATCTGCACCATACATGCAAAAGGAAATCATTGTTAAGGAAAAGGGGGCTGCACATATTTACAACATCATCCCCTTAAAGACAAGTCTAAACAAATCACTTTTTGGTAATTCTCTGTGTTTACTCTCCCATGCACATTGGAATATTTTGTTTCAAGCAACCAAGACCTGGGCAGGCTGTAATAGCTTACTGAAGTCAATGGCCATCTTTCCACTGATATCAAGGGAGTTTGGATTAGATCCGGTAGACCAGTGGGAGTCAACCTTTTTGGCAAGTATGTTACAAATAAGCCCTACACCTTCTACGAGTGCCACTCCGATCCCTTTACTCAGCCTGATCCATCTCTCTGCTTTCTGCTTCCTGCCCTGTGCTCCCGGCCTGATCTGCTGTTCTGCTTTCTGCTCCCTGTCCTATCTGCAGCTGTGCTCCCTGCCCTGTTCCTGATCTGCTGCATGCCACACAGAGAGGCTGCCCATGCCACTTGTGGCATTCATGCTAAAGGTTGGCCACCCCTGCTGTAGAGGATCTCACCTCAGCAGAGTTACTGAGCATCAGGGACTGCAGTCACAGCTCACAACTGTCCTGTACCCAATGTGCTATGCTCTGGGAAGATCTGACGAGTCAAAATGCTTCATATCTGCTCCTTATTTGAAATGGAGGCCTCCTTTGTTGCCTCCAAACTTTGTTGCCTGAGTTTGGAGGCAACAAAGAGGTGCTATCAGATGCAACACAGATATTTTTACATTTTGAGTAAGACCTCATCTATGCCGGGGTGATATGGTTGTCAGTCTAATAACACTATACAATGATTTAGCATTCACTGCAGATAAGACCTGCCTTGTTTCATGACATCTGGCTGCACCAAGCAAAACACAACGATCCTAATTTACAATATTCTGTACCTCTACTTGTTAAGAGAGCTGTTGGCCTGGCCACTCAATCAGTGAAAGCCAAGTTAATAGCTAGAGGTGCAAATGCAAAGTTTTTTCATGTACATTTAGAGCCCAGGTTGAGAGTAGCTGTCCATTCAGTTAACCAAACCTCAGGATTTAAAAGCTCTGTGAATGTTTGGAGTTGGGATATAATATATATGAATGGCATTAAGGAAAACTCTGAAGTAGAATACATAAAGCAGGTTGAAAGCTGGTTATACAGGAAAAGACAGATTCATCAAATTAAAAGATTTCGTGGGAACACATCAGTTTTCACAAAGAGAAAAATGTCAACTTTTTAATGTTTTTTTATTTAATTGCATTGAGATTATTTTTATTTCCATTTAAAATATGAATCTTAATATTGTATTGTTGTAATGTTTCAATATTATGGCAATTACACTATTTGATGTTACTTAATAGAAAGTTTTTGGCATTTCCGTTTGAGAAGCCACTTAAAAATCTTGACATTTTATTCAAGTCTAAAACAAACATGTTTCAAAAAGTCACTTAGCCTATTTTCTGACCAGTTCTAGTTCAGTGCCTTTTGATTACTAATTATGATGGCTATTGTTCATAAATAGTAGAACATCAATAACATTTTAGAGAGAAATAATTACCATTGTTTTTATCCATCACGTTTGCAGTATTGTTATGCCCAATCTGTGTAGCAGTGGAATGAGAAATATGAACAGCACTGTGATCCCCTGGCAGAGAAATATTGTTTATTGGATTAGTCTGAAGAATATAGGTTATACTTGGCTTCACTTTAGGACCTGTTGCTTTGTAATCTGTAACAAAATAAAAGGCACATTAGTCATTAATAGATTGACAAGTTACCGTCAAAGTGATTATATATGGAATGGGGTGAGAAAAACCAAACTGGAAGTTCAGCTTTATGGAAGAAAGCTCTTAGAAATGGCTCTAATTAAATCACTCACAGCATCTTGTGTACTCAGCGCCCCATGCTTCAAAATGGCTCATTCAACGCGCTTTAGTGAAAGCACCCCCACCCCCATTTGAAATGCTGGAATGCTGAGTACACAAGGTGTGGAGGCTACTGGAGTGTGCTAATTAGCATGCTCCAGCAGACTTGATCAACCAAGTCTGCTCCAACGCGCTGCAATTACAGCGCATCAGAGCAGTGTCCCTGCACATCTACAGGTACCCTATGAAAGCAAGTGTGAGCGAATGTAACCTCTGATCAAACCAGTCAGTAGTGAAAGCTGCTGTACATCACCCAGTGGTACCCAAAAATGAGGTACAGTAACCAACAACAATAGGGATGCCATATATCTAAAGGCAAATGCTGATCTTTGTAAAAGAACTGATCAACCAAAATGTGATGAAACAATTCCAGAAGGAGAATTATACAAGACTTCTCTTTTTCCAGTATATAACATCTTCTAGTGATTACTCAGTGCTAAAAAGATCAAGACCTCTGAGTTCTGAATTTGTGGGGAGGTATATGCATTATTCCCACACGATACACGGGGAACTGGGAGCACAGAGCTGTTAAATCACAGCCTACCCCAGGTCCCCACAAAGGGAATCCACAAGATGAGTCAAGGGCATTGACTGCAGCCTCCCAACCCCCAACCCTCTTCATCATCATTTATGCTTAAAGGTAAAGCCATCGGCAAACCTTAGTGTGGATATGCAAATTGAAAAGTAGTCAAAATTCTCTGATCTGAACTGGCTCAGGGAAGGAACTTGGTTCTCTAGCTGAAAGTCTTTACAGCCAAAAAGAAAACAAAGCACTCTTTTGTGACGGAGCCCAGAATCGGGTTATGAAGGTCTCTCCCAGTACAGTACCTGCTCCCTTGCTATAACATGACCACAGTTTCTGTTCCTCATCGAAGTGGAGGAGATGTTTTCTCATCAGTGCATATAAATCTGGATTGACGTCCTTTTGCGTCTGCTTCCCAAGGTGTTTGGCAATGCTTAAAGCCCTCTGAGGTCCATTTTCATGCAGATATGAACACATCCTTTCCTCTAAGAAACAAAGGCCTGGCTTATTGATTCAATCTGACTACAGGAGGATAATCTAGCTCTGTTTGCAGCATGTCCCTTGGAAAGACTGGGTCAAGAGTACCCACCCTGGCACCTGTGGCCATTCACAGTCCACCTGCTTGAAGGACTTCTCCAGGATTGTGAGTAAGGAGCACCAGGCTACCACCCAGGCGCAAGTGCCCAGACTCGGCCCCACTACTGTATTTGCTGAAGAGGAAATGGGGAGTAGGGGCAACCCTGGCTCTGCTTGCAGGCACCAATTACCAGGGCTGGTTGGCTGCACGTGTTTAAGAGAGGAGTAAGCCGCTAAAGGCATGTTGCAATGCCTCTACACCCCTTTGCACCAATGGCATCGGGGAAGGACTCTGCCTCTCTGAAAGAATATTACTAATGGTTCATGGGGGAAAAAATCAGGCTGTGCCTGCCACATCCCATTGCCTATACAAGCACTAGCAAGGGAATGGCATTTGCTAGGCCTCTACACATGCTCTTGCACAGCAGTTCCCAAACTCTGCCAGACTGTGCACGACCACTTTAAAATGATACAACCTGAAGCACCACCAACACATTTTTGTCATATAAAGCAATTATAATAACTCTCTTAAAGCGTACCACTGACAGGTTGTCTGCGTATCACTGGTGGTGCGCGTGCCACAGATTGGGACTCTAGCACACTCTAGCATATCAGTAAACCTCCATTGTGGCTGCTGACATGCAAGGAATTAAAATCAGCCTATTCAGCCTTAGAAACTTCACATGCACCAAATGGCTTACGTGTTTCTGTCAGCCCACTGTTGTTTCTCGCAGGCACCACAGCATTCCCACGCCGGCCCCACGGCACCAGGGCAGTGTCAGCTACAAGAGAGAACATTGTCGGGCACTGTAACTTGGATGAAAAGAGAACTGTGAAAGATCTGCTGTTTAGCCAGACAGAGGGACAAGGGTCCTCCTCCTCCTCCTCTCTTGTACCAGTCTCCAAAGCCACATTTGCATCCTTGCTCGATTCCTTTGCACAAGCCCAGAGAACAGGGGGCTTTGCAAGC